GGGATATGATAAATTGATTATATTCTATTTTTTATTTATCGCAGGCGTTTAAGATGGCTGCAAATAAACTCATAAAAGCCCCTTTCTCAAAGCCTTAGCTACTTATGGATAAGTGTCATCTTCCTTTAAAAAATACATAAATAACAAGTTGTTGTAAAACAGCTATGTGACCATTTGCAGAGATTCATTATAACATTAAGTGAATGATTCTTTGGCCTCTGTGTTTGTCTTGTTGACCTCACAACAGCATCTGATACGACCAATCCCAACATCTTACCAGAGCAGGGCTCTAGAATGCAACCAATTTTGTCGTAAATGGGACCTAAATTCTCAATGGTGCGAATAAAAACAAAATCATAGGTCGCACTGGTGCGACTTTCTCAAAAGTACGCTTTATGTATCAATTCTGGTTGTGCTTACTGATCACAAAGTGATTTTATATGGTACATGATGCTCAATAATCTGTCAAAATGTTTTAGTACGACTTTGGTAAGCTGCGAAGCCGCACCGCTTGACAGATTGTCGGAGCAACATGGCTACCGCAGTCAGGAGCCTCTCGGAGCCGTGCTTCAACATAATATTACCGTATTGTGTGTGCATAAGGACCCCAAAATGGCAGCTGTTAAGAGACATGCTTACGAAGCGGATTTCAAACTCTATCAGTCACGCAGTAGAACATGGGAATAGAAGAGCTGTGAGAGAATTCAACATTAATGAATCAATGGTACGGAAGTAGAGGAAGCAAGAAGAATGAGTTGAGTAAAGTTTTGTTTCACTTAATGCGCCTTATAATCCGGTGCACCTTGTGGTCCGAAAAATACGGTAACTTATCTGTCCTGTAGAACTGTGCTCCAAATAAAGAACTTTGTGTTGACAAGATTGTTAGTTAATCATTCACAAATCAATATTGTCTATATAGACAGCAATTTTGTTTTAAAGTGAACATGTAAAACTGCGAGGTTAAGCGATGTAGTTGAATAATTTGGGTGCACCTAACTTCTGTGCTGGCGCACCTAAGAGAAAAAGTTAGGTGCACCAGTGCAACTGTGGCGAAAAGTAAGTCTAGAGACCTGTACTACAGATTTCAAAATATAGCAATAG